TTGCTGAGTCCACAGTCCAGGGGCCTGGCTGTCTTCACTGTGCCCCTGAAAAGGTGGTCCTAAGTGAGATTGAGGAGTGTATGAAAACTATTCTAAAATGCTGGAGGAGTTCATTACTGAAGATGTCCTCTTTGAGTCCTTCTATTATTAACCCTTTGCACTCGGATGTTGAGTGTCGATAATGTCAAGTGGATAATAAGAAAAAAGCAAGTGAGTGCAAAGGGTTAAAGGGATAACCAATCCTTTGCTTTCTGAGTTCAGCAGCCTAGTTTTTTTCTATAGGAGGAAAGTGTTTGGAAACCCCAAACTTCTTGTCATTCCACCTTGGGCCTTCCTATTGGCTGCTGCCTTTCCCTCTGCTCCGTGTCTTTGCCACTGGTGTGGCTTCTCTTCCTGCCATGGGCTGCTTCCCACGTGGGTTTGAGCTGTCACCATGTGTCAGGCACTGTGCTGGTGCATTAATCCTCCTCCTGGCAACCCTGTGAAGTAGGTGGGGACCTAAGTCCCATATTCGCACAGCTGTGTGGTAACAGGGGACCCAGGACAGCATGGCAGAGTCCACAGCACATAGTATATATTATGTATGTATCAGGGTCAGCACACTATGATCAAATCTGACCTGCGGCCTGTTTTTGTATAACACTGCAAGGTAAAAATGGTTTTTAAAGGGATGTAAAAAATAATATGAGACAGAGACCTGATATGGCCCTTAAGACTGAGATCTTTCCTATCTGCCCTTTAGACAATAAATTTATCAAGCCCTGGTGTCTAATACGCAGAGCCACACTGCCTGGGTTCTAGAGCCTCAGTTGTATCATGTGGAAAAGAAGAATAATCTATAAAACGTGCCTGCCTCACATGGTTGTTAGAATTATATGAGATAAAGCATAGAAAGCACCTCACCCTGGGTAAGCTTTCTTCGGAAGTATTGCGGAAGATATTTCTGGGCCTTTGCCAGGCTTCTCGACCCAGTGGGCATGAAAGTCTTGGCTCTAGGTCTCGGCTACCCTGGCCCTGAGCATGGCTTCCTCAGAGCGTGTTCCCTTTGGCAGGAGGAGAAGGACCTGCCAGATGCCCATTGTGCCACATCCTGCTGGTAGGTCAGTTCTGCCTTCCTCCCGCCCCCATCCCTGCTGACGGTCAGCTGGTGCCACTCACCAGGGCTGGGCACAAAGCCCACACCAGGTGCCCATTAGGCCTGAAGGTACCAAGCCTCTTCCACTCTCCCCATTTCATGCTTCAGATCCACCTGGCTGCAGCTCCTGCTTCACTGCAGGAGATGTGGCCTGGGGTTCATCCTCTCTGTGTGCGCTTCCTCATTCGCAGGCCAAACGGGCAGACATCTGTGTTTCCCCAGACCCAAGGTTTTGGCCAGTGATGCCTTCCTACTAGGGAAGAGGAAAGGGAAGGGTAATCCCGGGGCCCAGTCAGCCTCCCTCTCTTGAAAGAGTGGTCTGCAAAACAGATTTTCAGTACATAAGGAGTTAAATGTAAAGATTTAAAAATTCAAATCATTGAAAAATCAAAAAGACTATTTTCCAATCTAGATAGGGATAGGCTTTCAATTCTTATAAGCAGTGGAAGCAATTATAACATAAAAGATCAATAAATTTTACTACATAGAACCATAAACTTATCAAAAGATTTAAAACAAAATTTTATATCAAACTGAGAAAAAATATTAATGCCAAATATGGCAGAGAAATAATACCCTTAAAATAAAAATCTTTAAAACAACAAAGCTCTTAATAGGTAATAACAGCAATAACTAATGTTTATGTAGTACTATATGCCAGGCACTGTTCTATGTATTTTGCACGTATTTTACTTACTCATTTAATCCTTGTAAACAATTCTATGAGAAAGGTACTACAGTAGCATTATCCTCATTTAGCAGATGAGGAAACTGAGAGGCTAAGTGACTCTTACTGAGTGCCCACAGTGACACAGTTAATGAATGGTGACACTGGAATTTGAACCAAGTTCATCTGGCTCTTGAGTCTGACATTTAAACTCTTCTATACTAACCAGGAAAAAGATACAAAGCGAACAGTACACAAAACAGGAAATATAAATATCTGAGAAACGTAAGTATTATTTTAATTTCAATGGTAGTCAAAAAAGTACAAATTAATAAAACAATGTGACACCATTATTGTCTTTAGATTAGAAAGATTTTTAAACATTATAACACTAAAAAATACTGTCTGGAGTGAGACAGAGACTCCCACAGATTGCTGAAGTTACATTCAAGTGGCCTTTCTGAAAACTATTCTGGCAGTACTAAAACAGTACTCAGAAGCCTCAAAAATGTCTATACCCTTTGACCAGGAATTCCCATTCTAAAAATCTAATTTGAGAAAATAATTAGGGAGATAGACAAAGACTCATGCATAAAGATGTTCACAGCAATGCTATGCAAAATAATGAAAAATTAGAGACAACCTACATATCTGATAATAGGATACAGGTTAAGTAAATTGTTTAATCTCCATAATGGGCAATTAGGCAGCCATTAGAAATAAATATGTATAACAAAAGACACCATAAACAAAGTGAGAGACACACCACAGACTTCTGGGAGAAGACACATGCAATGCACATAACAACAAAGAATTATATAAACAAAAGAATACGCAAAGAAAACTTACAAATCAATAAGGAAAAGGCAAACAACCAAAGAACAAGACAGGCAAAGAATGTAAATAGGCAGTTAACAGAAGAGGCAACTTAAATGGCTAATAAACATAAAGCACTACTCTGTCTCACTAGTAGTCAGGGAAATACAAACTAATTACGTACTTATCAGAATAGCAAGAGTCTAAAGGCAAAGATACAGGGAAACAAATTCATATTTATTGCTGATGGGAACATAAATGACGACAGCCATTGGAGAGCTATTTGGCTGTACTTATTAAAATTCAACATGCAGTTCCCCTATGAGTCACATACACTACTAGGGATTGCCCTGTCCAAACACCAGTTTGTACAAGGAGACATGTTCAAAGATGGTCACTGCAGCACTGTCTATAATGGCAACCATATTAGTATTGTGTAATATTATTACATATTATATTTTAAATTGTATAATAAAATAACAACAATGATAATTAGAACTGTCCATCAGAAAGGACATGAATAAGTGAAATATGATTAATGATAATAGGATACTATACACAGTTAACATAACTGAACCAGATCTGTAACTACCCGCTCAGATGAACTTCAAAACCAAGGCTGAGTGTGAAGAGCAAGTGGCAAAAATGATGCTATTTATGTAAATCTTTAAAACAAACTAAAAATACCGCACTAAATATCACGTATTTGACACATGTATGTAGAAAAATGTAAAACAAGCGTGAAAGTAATGTATACCAAGTTCAAGAGAGCGGCTGCTTCTGGGAAGGAGGCAGGCCAGAAGGATGAGTGGGGGAGGTTGGGCCTTCAGCTGTGTCTTAATGATCTTTTTAAGGGAAGGGGTGAAGCAAATGTGGCAGAATGTTAGCCAGTGTTCTAGATCTAAGTGGGGATGTGTGCCTTCTGTTAAATTATTTTCTGTACTTTTCTGCATATTGAGCTATTTCAAAATTTCAAGCAAATTATTTTTAATAGACTTTTTGAATAATTTACAGTTCCACGGAGAAATGTTTGCGTTATAATGTTAAGGGATAAAAGCAGTACAAAAATATACCCAAATATTTATAAATTTCACAAATTAAAGTTTGAAAGAGATCCCCAAAATACTCATAGTAGTGGGCAAGAGTCTGCAAGTTTGCTTTTCTTTACACATCCATGTTTTCCATTGTCTTTCTTTTTCTTTCTTCCTTTCCTTATGCCATGAAGATATATTGCTTTTATATCTAGAAAAAATATTGTTTAAAACAACCACAGAAAAATGTGGGAGAGTATAGACCCCAGGAGAGGGTCCAAAACCTAGGAAGAGGGGCCATGATGCAGTGGAAGTGTCATGGACTGTCGGGGTTACCTGGGCTTGCGTGCTGGCTTGGCCACTTTCTGGCTGTATGACTCTGAGCTTATTCATTCTTTTATCTATTCAACAAATACCTATTGAGTACCAACTGTGTACCAGGCACTGTGGTAGAGATAGAGCAGTGAGCAAAACACACATGCTTCTTCCGCCCCCACGGAGTGCACAACCTAGTGAAGAGGGGATAATAAACAGAGCACCACATAGATCATATGCCACTACTGAGTGCACGGTCCTCGTGAGGGAAAGCACAAGGGCAGTGCCAAGAATCTAACTGGATTGGGTAGCCAGAGAACCTGGCCTCTGAGTGTCAGTTAAACTGGAATCAAAAGGATGAGGAGGTCTGGGAACCCAGTAACGTGAGGACTTTGAGAAAAAGGAAAGCCCTACAGGGCACAGTTAAGGCACTGAAAGAAAGCCAGGGTTCTGGCTGAGATGAGGTGGAGGGGGGGAGTTGAGCAAGGAGAGGCCAGGAAGATTGTCAGGGGCCAGATCACTCAGGGCCTCATGGGCCAAGGTTATGCCTCCTTAGGGACCATGGGAAGTCATTGAAGGGTTTTAAGCAGCAGGGTGATGCGTGATTAGATTTGTAATTGTCAGAGATCACCCTGATGCTCTCCCAAGATCAGAGTGGATGGTGAGCAGCCCGGTTAGTTAGTTGACAAGGCAGCAGAGAGGGAGAGACATGGGGAAAGACTGGAGATATTTTTGGAGGCATAGTCAGCAGGTCTTGGTGATGGATTGTCTGTGGAGGGTGACCATGAGGAAAGTGCCAAGGAGGAATGCTGGGTGTGGGGCATGAACAGCTGTGGTTGGTGGGAATGGGAAACGCTGGGGTGGGAGGGCAGCAGGGGTGGAGGCAGGGACAGTGAGCCATTGCCAAGTGTCCCGGAGCTCTGGCAGCTTCGTGGGTGCGGGAACTGGGGTTTATGATGATGCCTGTGTGCTCAGCATGAGTACTTCGGCCTGCTATCCAAACCTCTTCTACAGCAGTCTTCCCTCTCCTTCGCAGGTGGGGCCTGTTACTCTTGGGGCTGGAATGAGCATGGCATGTGTGGAGATGGCACCGAAGCCAACATCTGGGCCCCGAAGCCCGTGCAGGCTCTGCGGTCATCACCAGGACTCCTTGTGGGCTGTGGAGCTGGCCACTCCCTGGCCCTTTGCCAACTGCCAGCGCACCCTGCACCAGGCCAGGATCCCAAGGTCACCTGCCTTTACCCAGATGCCACCGAGGACACTGAATCTCAGGAAACCACAGACAAAGAGAGAAACTGGAAGGGAAGACAATCAGAAATTGCAACCCAAAGCCAATCTGACAGGTCCGGAAATAGGGGACTGTGATAAAGAACCTTTAATAAAGTGGCTTTTCCCACCAAAACGTTCCAGAGAATTGCTCTGTTGGGTTGTGGGCTTGGGCTAACCGCAAACCAGAATGATGGGAGGCTGCCTGCCCTGTGTTTGGGGCTCATGGAGACAGACATCTTTTCTACTCACCAGGTGAGAACGAGGGGTTAGGTCCTCACCACAGGACAGGACACGGAAAGCTAAAACACCAGCAGGAAGACTCCAGTCTGTCTCTACCAGGTGGAGACAGAAAAGCCAGCCCTAGACAGAGGGTTCCAAGCCACGCTTACCACAGCCACGGGCCTCTCCAGGCATTTCATTCTCTCAGGGCCAGAACCAGTTTGCTGGTCCAAGGATATTGAGGTTCCCTGATTGGATGGCAGGATTCTTGGACAGGAAAGAGCGCTTGCCTTTGTGACTAGGCCAAGGAAAAAGGTTCTGGAGTACAGGTAGAAGGTAGTAGAAATGAGGAAGTGGAGGAAGAGTTAAGACTTCTGGGAAGACCTAGTAAGGAAACCCTTGGGACAGAAAAAGAGTCTAGAACCTATGAAACTCAGAACATTTATGTCTTCATCTGAGTCATCCAAGACTCTGGAGCCCATGTGCATGACTGTAATTGCCAAGCTGTGCAGTTTCAGATGAGAGACAGACTACAGCGTAGGAAGGGGAGTCTATAGGGATAGCAGTGTCAGAGATGCTAACCCCTAACATCTGCCCCCCCAGGCCCTAGCCTCTGCAGGAGGAGAGATGGGGACCAGGCCACAGTGGCAATTGTGGCTCTGGGGGACATAGCACCTTTCTCTCTGCTGTGATTGGCAACAGATCCTTGGCCAAAGGACCTCAGAGAGTGTATCTTCCCCAGAGGACTGTGTGCAGTGTTACCTGCTAGGTAGCCTGGGTCTGTGGCCACTCCCATACTGCCTGCCTTTTGTGCCTCGGGAGAGTTCGGGTCTGGGGCTAGGCTCCAGTGGCTTTACTGTTACAGAATCCCAGGACATCAAAGCTGGAGGACCTTAAATGACCATCTAGCCTAGTGGCCTTCAAAGTGGCCTTCAAAGTGGCCTTCAAAGCATCTTTTAGAGCCCTAGAAGTCTCCTGGGAACTCAGTGGCCACCTTGTGGACTGTGGATAAACAAGGCCAAGTAGACAGAGGTCTGGTTCCCCACCCCTACCTCATTCCAAGCAGCTTTAGTGTTATCTGTATATTAAATATATTGTGCCTCACATAAGATTCTGTTTGACAAGGGGTCTTTGAGAATGTTTAAAACCAGCAACCTTATCCAACATTTTTACTGTTCATCTCCATCTCAAGGCCATACACCTCACTCCCAGTCCAGGGTGCTGACTGGGGAGTGACCCAGACAGGGCCCTGAGCCAGACAGGAGTGGGATGGAGAGTAGCCCTGGGACCAGCAGTGGATTCCGTTCCAGAGAGTAGAGATGAGGACAATCCTGAACTCCCCAGTCCTGAACCTAAGAGACCACCCACAGCCGTAGGCTAACCTTGAACATGATGCATGGAGTCCTCCCAATATCGCACCTTGGAGACATGGCTGCCCTGGCCGGCAGAAACCTGTGTCCTTCACCTCCCAGAACCAAGAGAGGCCAGTGCAACCTTCCAGCACTTTTGGAATGGGAAGAAGGATATCTCTGTGCACTCTGACCTGGTCTTGCCAAGGTAACCAACCCCACAGAGCTGGAGCAATTGGATGGCTAAGAGATGACCCACACAAGCCCAAGGTTCCTGGCCCCTACCATGGCCCTATGGGCTGGTGGGGTGCACATCATAGGCCAGAAGGTCCTCAGGCCCACACCTCCTAGGTGGTTCCTACTCACAGAGAACTGACACACTGTCTCATGAGGTTGCAGTGCAGAGCTCCCTCCCGCTTCTTTCAGCACCTGCTGGGAGAAACAAAAATCCCAAGTCCTCCCTTGCTGTGTCCTACTGCCTCTCCCAAGACCTCCTTGTGGGTGCCAGAAAGGAGTGTCTCAGGGCTCCTTCCCAGCCTAAAACAGGATCAGGTGGTGCATCAGCCCTCAGCCCTTTGATCCAGACCCTCAGACTCTCAGAACTGAGTCAAACTCTTTTTGGAAGCAGGCAGTGCAAAGATAATCCACACGTGGAAAATGGGTGGCTCTCGGCACTAGAAGACACCATAGACCATCCCGTCGCCTCAAGTTCCTCCACTGAAAGTGGCAGAAGGGCTCTCTCCAAGGCACTTCCCTGTCCGATCTGAGGTGTGGCTGAAAGCACTCATCGGATGGTGAGTGAGGTGTTCACGGTGTCTCCCAGACTTTTTTCTGGACACCGTGGTTGCTACTGGTCATTCCCAGACTTTGTAGATATCCAAGCCTCTCATTCCTAATAGACCATGAACTCTTTTGAGAGTAAGGGACCAAGTCTTAGTCAATTCTGGAACTCCTTCACCAAGGATGGGTACTGGTACAGAGGAAATGCCTAATAAATGTAATGAATGAACTTGTCAGTATACCCTTAGAGTCACCATGGGGTGGGCAGGTTAAATGAGTGGGCTCAATGATCCCCTTGTCCCTACCCACCCTCTGCTGTTAGCCCTTTTACATATGTTTGAAAACTATGCTGTGATATCATAACCATTTGATGGCCAATTAATGACAATATCATTCACCTGGTTAGCTAATGATCTGTAGGCGCTACAGCTATTTGAGAAAATGCCCACTCATTTTTAAAAATTATTTTTTCCTGATCAACTAAGCCAATTAGTCTTTATATTCCTCCTGTGTGAGAAGGAAGAAAGGGAAGAGAGGAGGAAGCCTGCCTCATTGTGTGTTCACAGGTCTTTGGCCTGGCCCCAGGAGTGATGGTTTAAGGTCAAGCTCATACCAGATATGGATGGGATGTTTCCATCCCTACCTACCACACTCTCCCTTCCTGATCACAAACACCCCTTCTTCCCTTGACAACCCCCTACTCTTGGCCCCGATGGGTTGTGAGGCCCATCAGACCGTGGTGAGATTGTGCTTAGAATGGTAAATCCAGGCATCCACTTATGGCTGAAGTGACTTGGTGATAAATTGAAATTGGGAGTTGGTGAGTTAGTGAGGAAATGGTGGGAGTGTTAAAGGGAGGTCCCAGGTCCTAAGGTGCATGTGTGCAACCGCTGCAAGTTCACAATTTGAGAGTGACTGGAGCACAGAGGGAGGGGGTGGAAGTGGGAGGGCCTTGTAAGCCAATGGAAGGAGATGAAACTTCATTCTTAGAGCAATGGGAGCTTGAGAGGGAGGTCCAGCTGTATGTGTGAGAGGCTTGGGGCAGGACGTGGCTCCTTGTGTCATACTCATGGTACTTCATGAAGGAGGGTGGGAGGCCAGGTCCTGAGGATCCAGGGACTTAGGACCAGCAACTCTAGTGTTCCTATCAATTCCACCCATAAGGGTCAGCCCCAGGAAGGCCTAAGTTGCTTGAGACAGCTCCACCTGAGCTCTGGAGTCAGACCACCTGGGTTAAAAATCCTAGCTTCATTATTCATTGGCTTTGGGCCATTATTTAACCTCTCTGCACCTGTTCTCTTGCCTCTGAATGGGGCTATTGAATTATTGTGAGCTATCATTAGACAGCATTTGCAAGTTGCCTGCATATAGTAGGTGTTCAATGCAGTAGGTGTTAAATCTCTTTACCCTTTAGCTGCTCTGTCCCTGAAAACCCATATTCCAAATGGCTTTGTGTTGAGTCCCACTGTGAGTCCACCAAAGGCACTTCCTTACTGGTGCAGCACTAGGTAGAGTGAACATCACTCTCCCTGCTTGGCTTGCACATCCTGACACTTCTGAGTGACTGTGACAGCCCTGGTAGAGGCCCTAGGCTTGGGCAGAGGGCTTACCGTACTCACCGCTCCACTGCCCCCACCCCTGGATTCCTGAACTGCTCAGGAATCGAGGAAGTCCAGGCAAAGGCTTGGAGGGGATGAGAAACTATTAGATGACAATTTGACACTCACCTTGAGCCTCCCCCGCACCATCTGATCATTGACTCCGGCCATGCTGGGAGGTGCCAAGGGAACTGAAATCAGGGAAGATTTGCACTCACTTACTTGTGGCTCTGGGCAAGTCACTCCCCTCTCTGGACCTCATTTCCTCATTTGTAAAATGTTCAGAGGTTGGCTGTCATGACCACTAGGGACTCTTTCCACTTGAACATGCCTAGAGTTTCTAGTGGCTAGGAAAAGAATTGGAACCCCAGTCCTCCACTCTATCACCAAAACCAGGTGAACAACCCAAGCCACTCAAGATCCCTAGGAGAGGGCTCTACCCTTCCAAGATGCCTCCAGGCTGAGAGAGGGTATTTCATGAAGTGGTCCATGAGACTGGACCCAGCAAAGGCACAGCTGGGTAGAACACCCAGATCTGACAGACCCTAACCCCTGGCTCCAGCAAATTCAAGAATGGCCCTAGGAGGGAAGTGACCCTGCCCGGGACACTGGGAGCTCTGACATGGCCAGCTTCAAGGACTCATCAATATGGCATGACTCACAGAGAAGTTTCCATGTCAGGTGAACCCCCTAGAGGATGTGCTGGTCTTATGTCAGGTTCTTGTGTGCCCCATGCCTTCTGAAAGCTGCTTCCCTCCCCTAACCCAATAGGATCTGCAGTCCGAGGGGCTACCTTGCCCAGCCAACCTGCAGAGGGCAGCTTCTTCCTTGGGGCCTGACTTGCCCCCTGCAAGAGGACAGCAAGCACCTTAAGGTGGCTCCTTGAGACCAGAGTAGCCAGGGCCCAGGCTTCCCCCAGCCCAGCCACAAGGGACCAGAGGCCCTGGACAGAATCACGACACTGCCTGAAGGCAATAAAAACCCAAATCCGTGCTTCATCTCAAAAGTCAGCTTTTTATTATTGGGGGCCAGGGCCCAGGGAGGGAAAGTTGTTGAGCTAAAGCATCATTGCTCTCTTTCCAGGAAATGTTGTGAGCTGCAGTGAAAGCTCGAGATGTTGCATTTTTTTTTCAACTCAAGCATGTGTTTTTCAAAAATATCATCCTTCCCCCCTACCCCACTAATTTTAGAATCAGACCAAAGCCAAGCTACTGTCCTCTGTTTCTGTTGGGAAAATACTATATTTATTCGAGATGCAGAAGTGTGTCTCTGCAAACCTCCGATTGCTTCAGGAAAACAAATCTGCTTTAGACTATACAGAAACCATGATACAAAATTTATTTCATGCTAGAATCGCTTTGCATAACATTGGGCATGCAGTTTTTTACTCTGAAGTACTAAATTGCATACAATGCCAGGTTGTGCCTTGGTAAAGGTGGAGGAGGGTGCTCCTCCCATGGTCCTGATCTTTATCCTGGTTTTAAAGTAACACTTGGAAAATCCATACGGTGTTGATTATCTACTATGAACAATTTGTTATGAAAGTTGGTCACACTGGATCTACACACCGGTAAGATGAGAGAATCAACCTAGACTAGCCGCTGTCAGGGGTCTTGCGGAGACGTCCGCTGGGTCACAAGCATGCCAGACAGAGAGGGAAGAAGGCAGCAGTGCGAGTTTCCACGATTCTATTTGGAGCAAAGTTCCAGTTTCCGCGTGAGAGATGAGCTATGAAGGTGAGGTCAATATGACCGATGACTGACCGACTGCCCTTTTTGGAACCTTTTCTCTCGATCTTGTGTACAAAAAGGGAAGCAATTCATTCCCCATCCCCCCTCCCCCGCCCCCCAAAAGTCTGAGTCTCCATCATGACCATCCCCCAGATGGTGCACATCTCACTCACTATGTATGTATATACCCGCCCCCCTCCCCCGCCCCCCACCCCCAAAAATGCACAGGTTTCTACCGAGCGCCATTACAGTTTGGCTCCAACGATGTGTGTAAAATTAAAGAGCTTTGAAAGAAAATAGAGAACTTTCGCTTTTTCTTTCTGTTATTGTTGTTTAGGGTAATCATACAGTTGCAGGGGGGGTGGTGGGTTTGGTTTGCTGGGTTTTCTGTTTAACTTCATGCAAGTCATGCTAAGGAGCCCCATCCACCTCCCCCCTCCAAATAAAATTTTAAAAAATGAAAAGAAGGAAACGAAATCCTCTACGGTCAGTTACCATTTGGCCGTAGGAAAAGCTACGTCCGTCCTAGTACAATGCCTGGGCCACTCGGACTCGTCCGGCAAACCTGCATGGCGTGAATTTACTCTGTCCGAGGGTGAGGAGGGGCTGCAGGTCCACCCAGATGCTTATTAGCCACCAGTGTCCTCGGCCAAGCCGCCTGGTCAAGTCACTCTCACAGCCTCTGTCGGCATATACTTAGCAATGACAGGGCTTTCTTTGCAAAGATCTGTATGTAAAGAATACAATTAACACTTGAGCTTCTCTTCTTGGCTTTCCCATCCCGCTTGGTACTTAGTTTTTAAGGAAGGAGGAGGAAAGACAGAACAGCCGCATGCAGAGGCAGGCAGATTCTTCTCCAGCTGGCTCGCTTTTCCCATGCAGTGCGCCAGCCCAGCACGCCTTTCTCTCCCTCCTGGGGAACGGGCGAGCCCCTACTTCTCCTGCTCTGCACATCACCTCAACACCTGCATGGCTTATGGCTCGGAATTAGTATGAGAAAAGTAAGTCCTCGGCGGCTGTTAGGGCTCCACGAGAGCAGGGTCGGATGGATGTGAGGGGGTACACTTCACCCTCGGCACCCCCAAAAGACTGGCACCTAAACCTCTGCGGGACTGGAGGATGGGTGTCACCTGTGGACAGTGGTTGCTGTGGGCTCCCTAACCCCTTCAGGGAGCCAGGGCTTCTCCTGTCCCACGCTCCCTGGGCTTCTGGCAGCACAGTAAAGAGACTCTGCTCTCTGATCTTTTGGGTCACACAGATGGATCCAACATTCAAGATGAAGGAGCCAGGCAGCCCATGAGACTTTACTGAGCAGGGCATAGCCACCTGCTTTCTCCCTACTCCTCAGGGCGGCCCCTGCTGTGGGGCATGCTAGCACCTCCTCCTGGGACAAAGCCAGCTGCCGCGGGGATCTAGGACCCTCCTCGAGGCTGGCAGCCATCCGCCATGCAGCACCATGCGGGAGTGGCACACTGCGCTGGGGTCCAGGGGACCTCTGGGCAGGGTAAAGAAGCAGGGACCAGCCTAGATCAGGTGGACACAACTAAGCACTAGGGACCAGAAAGACTGTCCCTTGTCTCGGTGTAGCTGCCTCTCCTCTTCCAGGTTTGCCTTTGATTTCGAACTCTGTGTTTTCTCCTGTGTATGGCTTAACCACTTCAAATACTGGAGCAGTTGCAAATGGCCACAGGCTACAACAACTGTTGCTTTCAAAACCAGACTCCTTGTTCGACCCAGCCTGCTCAACCCGCTCAGCATGCATCTGTGTGAGCGCGTGAGCTGCTCTAAGACATGCACGAGCTGCCCAGCCACTCTGCTGCACCAACAAAGCTCCCTCTGCCTTCCAGGCCCAGGCCAATGCTTGGGGCCTTGAGGTAGGGTGCTCTGGGCCCCCACTTCAAGCCTCTCCCCAGCCCATGTGGAAACTCCAGTATAGTAGAAGCCCTTCTCTCCAGTAGGGTTCTGACTGCAAGGAGACCTTGAGCAGAGGTCACCACTGGCCCCAGCCCTCACCAACCACAAGGGGGCGCTGACCATGCCCAGGGCAGTGGCCAATAGGCACTGGGGATGGAAGGGGCTGCAGAGTCCTGCTTAACCGCCTTCTCTTGGTTGGTTCTCTATCTGCCACTAGCAATATTCTGACCGCAAGGACCTGGTTCTCTATCTGCCACTAGCAATATTCTGACCGCAAGGACCATGCCTTACCCCCAAGCCCTGAAACCACTCTCTTCATGCCTTCCCTCCCACTGCCCTGTGGAGTCTCTTTAAAGGAAGCCTCTTCTAGAACATGGGGCTTGGGTAGCTGAGCTCACAGGGTCTGGCCCATTCCACTATGCTCCTTAACCAAGGGACAGGAGAGATCACTCTGCCTTCTGGCCCTGACTGGCCTCTGCCGGAGCAGCCTGGGTGCTACCTACCTTGGGGTCGTGGCCTGCAGTCAGCCAGCCTGTCCCCATCTCCCAGCTCACTGGGGCCTCAGGTGCTCTCTGCCAGCCTGGTATCCCACTTGGGGGAGAGGGACACAGACCCTGGGCGACTCGCTCCATCCCTGCCCCTCCATGTGCCTGCCTGCCCCTCAGCGCCCCTCGCCCGCCGCCCTGCCCACCCCTCTGCAGGAGCGCGAGGCGGCCCGGCGATGCACAGTGCTCCAGCTTCCTCTACATACCCTTTCTCATTCCTCCACCAGGTGGGCACGCGTACTCCCCGGTTGATAAGAGGAAGCAGGGTCCGTATCTCTCGCGGGTGCCCGAGCGCGTAAAGGGCAGGCCCTCATCGGGAGTGAGGGCCTGGTCTATGTGGGGGCAGTCTTCGTTCGCCAGCGCGGCCTTCGCCACCTCCCCATTCAGTTTGGAATCTTCAAACATATAAGCAGAAGCTATTGAGACACTGAAAACCGTTTAGTGGGGGGACAGGCCAGAGGAGGGGCATTGGCAAAGGGCGGCCCATCCCTGAGGACGGACAAGTGGACGGGCCACGGGGGGAAGGCACACGGCTGGGAACCTCAGCTCGTCCAGGCAGCCTGTGGCTGCCCGCAGTGCTGGGGGGGAGGGAGGGACTCCTGGGTTCGCTCAAAGTTTGCAAAAAGATGAGTTGGTGATGGGCCCAGCAGGTGCAGTGCTGGGGGCCAGCCCAGGGCCCGAGGCGGGGCCGATGAGACAGGATGGTGTGGATGTGGTCACGGGGAGGGCCAGACACAGAGCTCAGGGGGAGGACAGACACACACGCAGGAACACGCCAGTCCAGAGAGAAGACCTTTTCAGACCCCTCTGTGGCTGACCAGAGCCCGGCTGCTCCTAGCCCCGCCCAGCCAGACCACCTGACCAGCTCTGCCCCGCCCCATTCAGCCCCCATGCTGCCCCCACCCTATCTGACCATTCAGCCTGCCTCCCACCCCAGATGGACCTGCTCTGCTCACTCTGTATATCCCATCCCCCATACAGACCAGGCCTGGCCATGCAGCCTGGTCTGTCCCCACACAGGCCTGCTCTGGTCACTCCATATCCCTGTCCCCCGTACAGACGAGGTCTGGCCATGCAGTCTCCTCTGTCTCCAAACAGACCCTCTCTGGTCACTCTGTATGCCCACCCCCATACAGACCAGGCCTGGCCAGTCTCTTCCGTCCCCCATGCAGTCCTGACCTGACCTCCGTCTACTCCACCCCCACACAGCCCAAGTTGACCTCTCCGCCTACTCTGGCCCTGTACATACTGAGCCAGTGTCATCCACCTTGTGCTGCCCCCGGCAGGCCTGGTCAGCTTGCACAGGCACAGCAGGGACGTATGCATGACGCTGTGACAGCGAGTCATGGATTTGGGAGGGGCTCCCATTCCTTTGTCCCCTCTGGTCAGTGTCCCCGGCAAAGCAGAGCAAATGAATGTGTAGAAGACAACAGCAGCTGATGGACTTGGGTGGGGAAAATTCGAGTCTTGGCCTCTGTGGTAGCCTGAGAAGGAACCTGGGAGAAGGTTTGGGGGCACATTTGGTGGGGGCAGAGTGTGGCCAGGGCCAGTGGAAGCTTCAGGGGCTGGCAAAAGTAGCTCTTACTAGCCTTTGCCCCCACCCACCACTCTTGGAGACTGAGCCTGCCCCACATTCTCTGTCCTTAGAGCAGAATCTTCCTTGCTGGGGGTGGAGCCAACTCAAATACTTCCTCTAAGTGAGAGCCTGGAATTCGAGCCCTTTTGTGGACGAAGGAAACCAACATGGGTGTGACCACGTCAGGGGAGGCTCTCTGAAAGACTAAAGAGGGGAAAAAAGCTGGAGAAAATGTCCACCCGATGTGACACTCTCCCGTGATCCTGTTCACATCATGTAACTACACGCAGTAGTGATCCTTCCCCACGTGCACACACTCGGCGTGCACGTGGGTGGGATCACCGCCCGTGTACACATCATGTCACTACAAAGAGGCAGTCAGTCAAAAGAGAAATGGACCAATCAGGTTTATTTGTAAAGCAAATGCAAAAAAAATCCCATCATAATTTTGGAACTTAAAAAATAGTCTCTTCTCGTACAAGATGGCAAAGCATTTCACGTACAGTGCATTTCTTGACAAATCCCAGGGGCTTCACTCCCCAATTTACTCTGAACCAGAAAGGCCAGTTACCAAGGTCACTGTGACACCACGTGTCTGGGGCTGGGGCCTCTCTGGGGTCTGGGGGCTGCCCAGCACTCAGGGTGTGTCTGCGGGCACACACGTGTGCTCACAGTCACACCCGCCCTGCCTCCCACTCTGGCTGGCCCCATCTTCCTTCCAAGGGACTCTTTGGGCAAAGAGAGGAGGGTGCTGGGAGCTGGCAGGAAACTGGTGTGGAGGGGAAGGGGGTGAGGATGTGGAAGGTGGGGCCCACAGTGCCCTGCATGAATCCTCAAGGGGAAAGCAGGGGTCCTCCCAGGGGGCGTCTCCATCTGGGAGGAGAGTGAGGACTCTCTCTTTGTTGGCCATCCTGTCAAGGCAGCCACAGTTTGCACTTCTCGCCCGGGGTTGGGTGAGAGGTGGGTGCCCCTCCTCTGACTCCTGAGACCCTTTCTGAGTGCCCAGCCCCTACCCACAAGTCCCCCATCCCCCTGGCTCCCACCTCCCACAACCTTTACGAGGTCCCAAGTTCGGGTTGGCTTTCCCTGCAGGGGTGGGGCAGAAGGAGCAGCCATCAGGGATCCTGGAGGGATGAGGGCCGGGCACCTTTCCATCCTGGGGGCGTCCCCAGGACACCCCTGGGGCCTGCTGCTTCTCTCGAGCCTGACCTTTGAGGAGGGGACTCTGAGTGGGTGGGGGTGTTCAAGTCTTGCTCTGTGGATGAGCCTGGCCTCCCTGGGCTGTCGGTCTATTTGCAGTGTGGGATGCTCTCAGAAACTGGGGGCATTGTCCTCCCCAACTCCAGAGGGGTGGCCGGAAGGGAGAGAAACCAAGGAGGGTCCAATCCTCTAAATCTGGGAAACCCATGAAAAGAGCCAAAGATGTGAGGCCCCAAGTCTCCCCACCCTCCTGCCCCTGCCCTGTCCTACAGCCTGCCTCCCCTGGCCCAGGGCCCCCAGGCCCCCACTAGCCCCACAGGCCTGCGATGATGAAATGGCAGCATGGGCAGCGTCTCAGAGATGGTTTCCAGGCTTGAAATGGGCTGAGATGAGCGTCCGCAAGAGGGTCATTTTTTTTAAACTTTGGAGCAAGGAGAACCCAAGGCCAGCCCTCAGCCTGCAGGGCTGGCTTTTCTGCCCTGGTCTCCAGGCACCGCCCAAGTACTTACTGTTCACACCAGCAGCGGGCACAGGGGAGGGAGCGCACGTGGGATGGGGTGGGGGGTCGCTGGGCATTTCCTTGGGTTTAGCCCCGAGGGATGTGCCCAGCTGGGGTCTCAAAGAAAACGTCCCAGGCTAAATGGGGACAGTCTGTGAGAGACACGAGCAGAGTACAGTCACGAGAACCGGCACAAGTTCATGCAACAAAACGAGGAGAGAGAGAGAGAAACATGATTAGTGGAGAGAGAGAGAAAGAGAGAATGTGAACAACACGGAAAAGAACACCCATGCCTGGCCCTCAGGGTCAGCTCATTTCTCCACTGCTTTTCCCGAATTCTGACGGTGCCAGCCCTGCAGCTGGATCCATGCAGAAACTCGGCCCCACCCTGCCTGGCCAGCTCTGCCCCAACCCTGCACCGCCCCTGCCCCACGGATTAGCACCACTTGCTGGGCAGCTGCTGTAGCCCAGCAGGGGAAGGTGGAAGGACTGTGGATAGGGACTTAGGACCCTGCTGCTCGGGGAGAACCCCCTTACTAAAGATGACCCAGAGGCTGCCGTGGTACTCCTTGGGGCCCAGGCAGGGGCTTCTCTGAAACTTCACTGCTGGTCTATGTGCCTGGCCACCACCCCTCCCCCCTTGTCACCACCTGCTCACCTATGGTGGGACCCTGCAGCCCTGGACCCGGTACCACAAAGGACTGACCCACATCACAGGCGCGGAGATGGACAAGACACACGTGAATGGACGTGGCAGGACAGGAAGCATCTGGGCTGTCCAGAGCAGCTGGTCTGGGGGGCTGACTGCAGAGGGGGAGGGAGCCCTTTCGGGAAGAAGTGCAGCTTCCCCTGGGCCCTCAGCCCCTGGCAGTCCCTGGCTGTGCCGGAGTGCCCTCCTGTCACCACCTGTGAGGTCTTACAACCAGGTGAGCACTGGGCCCTTCACAACCCTCCCAGAACAAGACCCCCAAACACTGAGGCCATGCCAGCCACACACAGAGGAGACCGGATCATCCCTGTGACAGACACACAGACTGAGCCTTCAGGGGGACCACAGCACGGCGGAGAGGGGCAGGTGCTGCTAGCACAACGGGGGACAGACTGGGGGTGCCTCGGAGCCCAGCATGCCGCATTTGGCCCCAACCCAGTTTTAAAAGTGGAATTGGATAACCCCAGGTTTTGGCAAGGCTGCTGGACTGCCCTTGGGGATGGCACGAGGCTGGAGAGGTCCTGAGGGGCTGCATCTCACCTCCCACAATTCCTGCAGGATCCCCACATTCACTCTCCCTGCCTCTGGCCTCCCCTCCTTCTCTACATGTAGGAACACAGCTGCAAGCTGGAAAGGCCAATAGGAGGGACTCGGGGACACAGAGGCGGGGAGGATGCCCCTAAGGACCATGCACCTCGGGGTGGGACCTAGTCTGGGTCTCCCACACCAGCTCGTGGAGAGAGGAGTGTTCTGGTGAGGCATGAGGCTGACAGCAGGTCTCGGAACTGAAGGGTGATGGGCTGGACATCAGGGCAGCACCGATGCCACCAGGGGAAGTGAGTGCCTGGGAAGGGGCTGGGGAGGAAGTGTGGTTGGGGGCTGGAGGGAAGAAGCCAGGAGGATCCGGGCATCCAGACTCCAGAGGGCAAGCTTGGGTGTTCAAGCCAGGGTTGTCTGGGCCTGAAACCTGGGCTAGGGCGAGGTGGCTCCCAGGAGCAGGGCTGCCTAGGCTGGGGAGGGGTTATGGAGCCCAGGGACTCCCCCAGGCGTGCGTGGGCTTTCAGGGTCTGCCGTAGCATGGGAAGAGGGCTGCATCCTTGGGAGTAGCAGGTGTGCGTGCCGGAACATATCTGCACTCCTGTGTGTGTGCATGCGCGTGTGTCCTCGGCATATGGATAATACTGTCATTGTCTAGGAGTACAGAGGAATCTGTGCCTGCCTGGAGTGCACTGGGGACCCTTGACGGGCTGGCCTGGGGGACCTATGCTTGGGGCACCAATCCTGAAAGATCCAGTGTTGGAAAGGACACAATGCAAGGGCCAGGCAGTGCCATGGTGATGCCACTCAGGTGATGCCAGTCTTCCTGCTGGGCCCACAGTGAAGCTGGGGGCTGAGCCCTCCCGGACCCTCCCCCAGAGCCCCAGGAACTTCCCTGGCCCTGACGGTGGCTCCTGAGGTCAAATGGCTAGCTAATTAATCCAAAGCAGAGAGGTGGGGACTCCTGTTTTAGCCTCTGACACCCCTGACCACCTCCTGACCCAGCCCAGGACACTAGCCAAGTTCCTGTCAGGTGCCTACAGGAATCTCAGGAAGGGGAGGGTATGGGACAGAGCAAAGGGGCTGGAAAGCCACCATGGCCAGAGGAGTTGGTCTTGAGGTCACTGCTCTGGCTGGCATAGCTATGTGATGAAGCCAGACGGGATCATGATGGGGTGGTGGGTCAGAGAGTGTGTCAGTGGGGACGAAAACCAATCATCTGCTGGGGGAGGCCACCCAGACCCGGGGAAACTTCCTCACCCAGGGCTGAGCTCACCTGCAGGCCCCTGCCAGACCTGGGCACGGGGATGTTCTTTGCAGACTAAATGCTACCTAAGCTCTCATACCAACCTCTCGCTCACCCGGGCACTCCTCCTTACTCAGTGTTGTCACTCTTCTCTGGGTCATCTGTTCCTTTGAAATCCCTGTGTCCACAGAATAAGTCGATGGTATTCCATGGGTAGAGGTAGACTATGGGCTTTTATATCTTCGGACCAGAGCCCCATGATCAACTTTATGTGCTATGTGCAGGTTCTCATAAAACTGAGATAGTCCCATAACGAACCACTAGCCATGGAATATTAGAATATATCCCACGGTGACTAGTATTGTTTCATGGCCCCCCTCCCCCCCCCACCCTAGTGAATTCACGGGAAAGTGGTTGTACACTGGCTGGGATGTCTGTATTGCTGCTGCAGTCCCTACCGCCGGACATGGGGAGAACCCTCGGTGGGAGGCTGTTGCTGGTCTGTAGTGCTTTCATCTAAGCTGCCCAGGGTGGTGGCCCCCTCTAGTCCTTTGCTCACCAGCCACTTCCATCAGAAGGTCACCAGAAACTCCCACTCGACCATCAACCCAAACAGACAACGTGAAAGCTAGAGTCACTCCAACAGGTTCCTAAAGATAAACGCTAAACTCTAGAGTGGTGGTAGAAGATGAGTTGGTTCTGCATGCTGCGGGGTAAGTAAGCTTGTCACGGAGGGCTACAGGCGTCTCCGAGGGAGGGTCTGGAGCTAGGCAGCCGGAATTGGAGCAGGAATGCTACTCGGCTATGGAGACAGGCTCTGTTGGGGGCGAGAATCCTTGCTACTGCCTTTGCGAGGGACCCTCCTGCCCAGATCCTATGCACGGTTTCCGCCGTCCCCACAGCCAGAAGGGAGCCGTGGGAAGGACCAAATCAAAAGCTGTGTGGCATTTCTGATCACACCCGCCCCCGCCCTGCCCCAGCACTGGGTCAGAAGCCGGAGTCAGGGACTCACGCTCGACTCCTGCCCACCTGGGCAGCAGCTAAGATAGTCCTCAGCACCCTCGCGGCTGTGTCGTCTCTTCAGAACATCACGAGACCAGCCACGCCAACCTCTTTCCCCAGGGCCACAGTGAGGCTCCTCTAGCAGGCTCTTGCCTTCTGAATTTAGCTGCCCAGCCTCTCCCTGGGCCCCCAGGCTCCACGCCTGGAGACTGAGCGCGGGGTCCCGGGTCACCCGCGGAACTAAGGAAGCAGTCTGACTGGATCTGGAATCATCGCTACAGGGAGAAGAGGTGAAAGGTCAGATCGACATGCCTCTAAGAGGTTTCCTACCTGCTCTGTTAATTTCTAAAATTTCTTCCTGGGCCAGCGGACATGTGTCACTCTGAGTACTGTGGTGTGGAGAGTTTACGACAGATTTACAATAATTGGGAGATCCCAGCTGCGGTGGCCGAGGAATATGCTTCTTTTTTTTCTTTGGTAGTTTCTGCTTAGCCATGGCTAAGGAGTAATACATCCCGAAATTGTTCACGATGACGGGCACAGGCATGGCGATGGTGAGCACGCCTGCCAGCGCGCACAGCGCCCCCACCAGCATGCCGGACCATGTCTGCGGGTACATGTCTCCGTAGCCCAGCGTCGTCATGGTGACCACAGCCCACCAGAAGCCGATGGGGATGTTCTTAAAGTGCGTGTGCTCGCTGGCGCTGGGGTCATTGGGCTGCGCCCCTATCCTCTCGGCGTAGTAGATCATGGTGGCAAAGATGAGCACGCCCAGGGCCAGGAAGATAATGAGCAGCAGGAACTCGTTGGTGCTGGCGCGGAGCGTGTGGCCCAGGACCCGCAGGCCCACGAAGTGGCGGGTCAGCTTGAAGATGCGCAGGATGCGCACGAAGCGGACGACACGCAGGAAGCCCAGCACGTCCTTGGCAGCCTTGGAGGACAGGCCGCTCAGGCCCACCTCCAGGTAGAAGGGCAGGATGGCCACAAAGTCGATGATGTTGAGCGAGTTCTTGATGAACTCCACCTTGTTGGGGCAGAAGACGACACGCATGAGGAACTCGAAGGTGAACCAGACCACGCAGACGCCCTCGATGTAGGTGAGGAAGGCCTCCGTCTCTGCTTCCCTGTAGTATCGCACCTGCGTGCCATTGCGGACGTTCTCGATCTCCGTCTTGTTCACGATGGGGTTGAAGCGCTCGTGGGTCTCCAGGCAGAAGGTGGTGATAGAGACCAGGATGAAGAAGAGGGAAGCAAAGGCCACATACTGCGGGGAGAAAGACAGGTGTCAGAGGGGAGGCCCGCCCACAGTGGGGAAGCCGAGGGCGCGTCTGTCCAGTCAGAGGGCCGGGCCAGGGAGGACGCCGGCACAAGCCTCTGCAGCGTGACCCAAGCTGACATCCCACATTTCCCTCCGCAGGGCACAAGGGACGTGCACTGCTGCCAGGCCTGGCCTAGACACCCCCTACTCACTCTTCCATGCTCTCTTTCTTCCCCCCAATGCCAGCCAAACTCAGAAGCCCTGGGGCCAGCAGAGTCATTAGAGGGAAGGAGCCTGGGTCCCTGAAAAGAAGGGCATCCACTAAATACCCTCATCGAACTGTGACCTGAGTGGGAAATAAGCTTCTATTGTGTTAAGCCACTGCAATGTGGAGGGGATTTGTCAAAGCATTTAGCTACCCTGACTAATAAAAGCAACCCAGCTCGCTGCAGCTGAGGTCTGCAGAGAAATGAGAGGGCACAGCTAGCGTGGAATCAAGTCCCTCAAAGGCCAGGCCTCCCACCTTTCCTTCTTCCTATTCTAGTCTACTTGCCGCCGTTTCCATGGGTCTGTACCTCACTTGTGGTCTCGTTCAGATTCTGTCCTATCTAGAACTGCAGAAGATGCATATCTGCCCCAGGGCCTTAGGTGACTTTTTTTTTTTTACCCTTCCCTCTATCTTTCTAGAACTTGCACCACCAACTTCATGGTGAGTTCCTCGTCCTTGGAGATATTGAAATAGAAGCTAAATGATCATTTGTCAGAGATAGTTTTGTTTTTTTTTTTTTTTGAGACATAGTCTCGCTTTGTTGCCCAGGCTAGAGTGAGTGCCGTGGCATCAGCCTAGCTCACAGCAACCTCAAACTCCTGTGCTCAAGTGATCCTCCTGCCTCAGCCTCCAGAGTAGCTGGGACTATAGGCATGCACCACCATGCCCGGCTAATTTTATATATATATATCAGTTGGCCAATTAATTTCTTTCTATTTATAGTAGAGACGGGGTCTCGCTCTTGCTCAGGCTGGTTTTGAACTCCTGACCTCGAGCAATCCGCCCGCCTCGGCCTCCCAGAGAGCTAGGATTACAGGCGTGAGCCACCGCGCCCAGCCCAGAGATACTGTTTAAGGGTTCGGGCATCAGGAGGGGTCTCCAAAGGTGCTATAAGCCTTGGGGTCTGCTTCTCCCTGGCAGTTTGCCCGCCCAGGACAAGGGTGTGAGGAGGAGAGAGGAGGAAGCTGCTGGGGGCTGGGGCTTTCCCAAAATGGGCACCTGCTCTCTCAGACCCTGCCAGCCAGAAGGAAATGGCCAGGAGAGCCCAGCCTGTCTAGACCACCTGCTCTGGCCCTGAGCCTGCTGGAGAGAAGTTCCCAAGACCCTTTGGTTTGGTTTGGAGGTCCCATCTCATGACCCCCTAGGTTTCTCTAGCCCCCAGCAGATATGGGTACCAGAGGAGACAGAATCAAGCAGCTGTCTGAGTTTCAAACACTCATGCTCAGACTGAATTCTGGACAAGGTCTCCAGCCAAGTCCCCTGGGACTCTAACAAACTGTGCCCTCCCTTGGCCACGCCCTCGGCAGATGGAACCTTGGCCAGACAGTTCTCTTCCAGGGCCCAGACGGCCACTCTTGCCTGCATGTTCCCACTGCTCCCTTCCTCTCTGGGCCTCCTTCTCTCTGCCTGGCCAAGACAGCCCATGGCCAGAGCACCGCTATCTCCCTGAAGATAGCTCTGGGCTATGGTCTGGAATGGACGACACCTTCGTTCTCCAGAGCTGCCCTCGTAGATAACTGAGGAGTGCCTAGGTCCCACCTTGTACAGCAGCAGGAGGCCATGCTGCCCCCAGAAATCACCTTAGTTTTCTTGGTGCCCCTCCCCCACTGTGCAGGGGTGTCCCCTGGAAGTCCCAGAACAACAACCTTGTCTGGGTTGACCATGGCCACAGGGCCTGGCTCTGAACCAGCAGGAATGTGGGCACCAAGAACTACGTGGACCTTCTAAACTGCATTCTGGGAGAGAGAAGGAGAGGGACTAAGTCAGCATTTCAGAGTGACAGAGTAAGAGTGGCCTTTAGAGGTGAGCTGCTCCAAGATACTACATGCTGCAGATGAGGAGCCTGAGGCCCAGAAACGGGGAGAGATCTGTCCAAGCTACGAAATATAGGACATCAATAGTTCTGTTAGTTTTTTAGAGCATTGTGCAATTTTCAAAAAACTTTCCCTTAGGCTACTACTATCAGGTGTGATCCATGTGTAGCCTTCCTCCCAGCCACCTAATTCTCCCTTCTTTACCCATCCGTCATCCTTCCTTCTTTTCTCTCTCCCTCCTATCCATTCATCCTTTCTTATTTCCATTCATATACCCATCCATCCACTCGCCCTTCCTTCCTTCTGTCCTCTCCCGCTTCCTTACCCATCCAGTCATGTTTCTTCCCTCCTTCCATCATGCATTCATTCTTCTTCCCTCCCCTCCTCTTTCTTCTTTTCTTTTTTCCTGCCTTCTGTCTCTCTTCCCTGCCTCCCCTCCCTCCCATTCATCTGTGCACCCCTTCCTCACCAGGTTGTGCCGGGCACAGAGTTGAACAGGGCCTCGGTCCAGCCTCAGGGGCTCCCTGGCCAGCTCAGGGTGAAGGGCACCCCCCCAAGACCAAAGCAATGCAGTGGACTGAAAAGATGGGCCCCTCAGCCCTGTGAAGTAGGTGGGGCTGGGAAAAGGTGAGAGTGATTTGTGCACTCTTGAGAGAGACAGGGTAGAGGCTTAGAGCCAGGTCTTCAAAATCCAGAAAGGTTTTCTTTCAGGGTCCAGAAAGGTCAGACCTGGGTCACAGCTGTGGCCCTTAGAGGCAGACCACGAAAGCAAAATAGAAGCAGCTGGAGGGAGCCACCACCTCGGATGCAAGTTCATCTAACATCAGAGCTCCTTCAATCAGCAGTCACGTCACCAAAGCTCTTGGAGCTAAAAAACACATCCTGGTCTGGCCCCAGATTCTCCCTGGAGGGCCCCATCTTGGCGCTTGGCATTCACAGCCCAGATGACCTCAGAACAGGTCAGGCCCCTGGGCCACACCCCTACCCTGGCCACACCCCTACCCTGGCCTTCATGTGAGAGGAGGAACCTGTGGGTGTCCGAAGGGTGCCAAGAGGCAGGGCCCACTGCTAGCCTGGGCTCCAGTCCTGGCCAGTGCTGGGAGGCAGGAAGCATCCCCCCTCTTCCCTGACCCATCCACCAGGACATCCCCCTTCCTCCCAACCCTCCCACGCCCACCCTCGCTGTGCCCCCTGCTCATATGTGACTCTCTCTCAACAGGGTCCCTGCCATCAAAGCAGATTTTAGCTTTAGCCTAGGCCACCAGCCCACCCTCTAGGCAGCTTCCAGAGGGAGCTGCCCACTGGAATCCCAGCTCTGCCCATGCACCCCACAGAGAAAGTCCCAGATTCCTCAGCCTGGCACATGAGGCTCTCCATGCCCTGACTCAATCAACTTCCCAGGGTCCTCTCCCTACATGCACCCAACATCCCTGCCACATGCACCTCTCGGCCCTTTCTGACCACAGAGCGTCTCCCCCAGCTCTGTGTCTGCACCTGCTGTGTCACTCACCAGAATGTTCCTGCCGATCTCTGTCTGCAAAAATCTCACTCATCCTTCAGGGCCTACTAAGTAGCCCTTCCCTGGGGTGAGGCTTCCCTTCCCAGCTGTGGCCCTTAGTGGGGAGCAAATGAAGGGATTTCCCAAGGAGTCTAAATTGCCCCTGGGGAGGCAGCGAATCTATCTCCAACTCTGGTTCTCCAGTGTTCTGGGAGGCTCGTGGGAACAGCCCAGACAGAGCACTGATATCCCAGGAGCTTTTAATTCCCAGGTGCCCCTACAGGCCCTCAAAGGGCTCATCTCAAATGTCCCTTTCACAGTATAGATCCTGATGGGGAAACTGATGCCCAGAAAGAGGTCAGGCCTTAACAGATTGGGGTAGAAAAATCCTGATCAATGAACAAACTGTTTAGATTCTTTCCTCTCCGGGCCCAATGCCCAAGGAGTGAGGGCTGGAGGGTGACAGCAGAAGCCAGGCCCAGGCCCAGACATGAGGACTTCTCCCCCAGGGATAGCCAGGAGAGGTGGAGGCTGGGCCTCCTGCCCTGCCCAGGCTCCCTGGGCGCCTGCCTTCCCAGCAACATCCGGGTCCAAGTGGACCCTTAGGCGGGTATGGAGGAAGGTCACCTGGGCTTGCTCAGACCCCAGCCTTTTCCTAAGCCTAGAGACCAGTAAGAGGTCAGCCACAGGGCACAGCCACAGCAAAAGCAGCCAAGCCCCAGCTCCTCCTGCCCATCTGTCGGGGCTAGCTGAGCACAGCAAGGGGAGAGGAAAAGACTACCAAAGCTTGAGGACCTACTATGTGCCTCTAATCCTCACACCAACCTGATGAGACAAGCCCCATTGCATCAAGAAAGAGCCCCATATACAGATATGTTCAGGGACTAAGCCAAGGTTAAAGCTAGTGAAGAAGCTGAGACTTAGACCCAAGTTCGTTGAGCTCCAAAAACCAAGTTTTTTCCACCACCAGAGAGTTGCCAGAGCTCTTGGGGCTAAAACCACAGCCCCACCCACTGGATAGCTGGCCCTGATTATGTCTGGGTGGTTCCATTTAGGAGCTTGGCATGTACAGCCCAGACTCCTTAAGGGAAGGCTATACACGGTGTCCCCAGTGGTGGAAGAGCAGGGGGACCCGGATCGAGGCTGGAGCACAGCCACGTCTGAATCCTCGTTGCTCAGGACCTGGTAATACCCAGGGCAAGAGCAGTCCCTTGGGTGGGGACGCTGCCCCACCTTGTGCAGGGAATCCATGCCAACAGCAGCCTTGGGTGGTCTAGCTTGCACCCCCACCTGGCCTGCCTCCTTGCTGACTGGGAGAGAAGAGCTCAACTTATTTAGGGAGCTCAGCCAGAGGGAGAGGTGAGGAAATGGGGGTCAGGGGACCCCTGGCAGGGAGGGAACCTCAGGGCAGCCAGCCTCAGAGCAG